CTATGTAAACGATAACTTGCGTTCTTTTAACTTTTAGTATATGCACCAATAAATATCTTGTAAATTGTGTTATTTGTTGAGTTTTGTCAATATCTAAGGGCAAAATGCTTAAAACAGAAAAAAAGATTTTCTGTTTTGATTTTGGAATGCGTTATGTACAAAATAAGAGCAGAGCAAACACGGACCTCGGAAACATCTGAGGTGGGATCAGGTGCCATTGAGGAGTGAGCATCCTCTGCCGACCGGTCACACCCACCGTGTGCTCGCTGTCATCTTCAAGAAATAACGGAAAAAATCCGTCGTCAATTCAGTGTATAAATAGTGGACTAACAATTAGCATTTGACTCAATGATAAATTGTATTAGCTGACAAGGTCATTGTACCGACCATAAAACTTATGAAATGATGACTTTAAACAAGACTTCTGGTATTGTTGTTTCATCAACTCGCTTGTCAATAATATACCTTGTTTTGGAAATTGTTCATACGTATAGCATGCTCTTGCGTATCGAATCAACTTAGATATATATATTCCGTATGCAGGTGATGAAATATATTGCTGCATAAGTAAGGGAAGTTTACGATAGAAAAGTTTAAGTCACCACGTTTATCATATAGTTTGGTTGTTAGATTACCGTTAGTGTCTTTTTCAAGTAAAGTATCAAAATATGAAACAGAAGTGTCGGACTCTGTGGTATCTTTTATCTCAATCTATAGGAAGTCTTGGACTCCATTCAAACATCCAGTTGTGTGGTAAAAAACCTGTTGCGTCACTCTTTGTAGCGTTGTATCCCTGAACCAAGGGAGCAATATGTTGTTTCCAGTCTGTCTTCTGTTTGGGATTCAAGGTACGTAGCATATTTTAGAGTGTTTAGATAAACCTCTCTACCGATCCATTGCCCATAGAATGTAACAGAAGTAACAGAAGTTTTGAATAATTCACATTTTGATGGCTTCAATTTTAATCCATGCTGAGCTAATTTTGAAAACACATTTTTAATTTAAACACAAGTTTTTGAAAATATGAGCACATCATCCAAAAAGATTAAGCATTCTTTCAAATGCATATCTCCCATGCACTTCTCCATCAATCTTTGGAAAGTTGCAGGAGCATTTATTAATCCAAAGGTCATTCTATTACACTCATAGAAGCCTAAATTACCTACCAAAAATGCTGTTTTGTGCCGATCTTTCTCCTCAATTTCTACCTGCCAATAGCCTGATCGTAGGTCGAGTTTGTTGAAAAACTTGGCTCCATACAGGGCATCTATGACGTCATCAAACCGAGGAAGCATATAGCAATCCTTGCGCGTTTTTGGAGTTTACCATTCTCATGTCAAGACAAAACTGCAATGATCCGTCTGTTTTCCGACACAGTACCACGTTTGAGGAATAATTGCTGTTAGATTCGCGAATGACTCCGGCGTCTAACATCTCACGCACGTGTTGGCGGACTTCCTCATACATTCCTGGAGGAATTCTGCGATACGGTTGTTTAAATGGTTTTGTGTCCTCTAATTCTATCGAATATTTCACTAAATCAGTTCTTCCAATGTCTAATGGACCAGTGTAAAATATGTCAATGCACTGTTTTGGAATATTTCTCACAGTATTGAACTGATCTTCAGTAAGTACACTTGAGTCAACCTTAAACTCCAAGTTCAATAGGGTCACACACTTTAGATTTGGGTTTTAATGCAGGAAAATTATCTACCACCTTAACCTCTTGAAGATTGCAAACTTTAAGTACAGTGCCATGCCTAAATTATATTGGTTTGGCAGATATATTACAAACCTTGACTTGCACTGTAGACTTTTAGTAGGTGTAGAATACTTAACTACCCTTAGACAAACTGTAAACCTGGCCATATTATCAAAGTTTTCAGAAACCATTGTCGTGTTGTTACCCGGTAAACCTTTAACACGGCCCTTAACTACAATAGATTCATTAAGTTGTACCATAATAGGTTTCTTACACACTGATTTGACATGGTAACACTTACCCTTCATACTCTTTAATGCTACTCTCCATTCTTTTGGTGCTATTTTAATTTCATTGGAATCTTCACCCAACAAATCTATGCAAATTCTCAACACATTAGTTCCAATGATCACAGGACATGTTCTATTGAAATCAGTTTCTGGTACATTTAAAACAGGGACAAATATCTCTACCTCCATAAATGGAATTTTTACAGTACACTTTATATATCCCTTGTTTTTCAATAGAGAACCATCGATATCTGCGACAGACACCTCTAACCCTAAGTTAGATAAATCTTTTAACTCTGGTTCATTTTTCATGGAATTGTAACCTGAAAATGACAATGTTGTCACCATCGATCCACTGTCAACAAGACCACCTGTAAAAGAATTATCATTCATAAAAACAATAGTCTCATTTGACTCACCAATCATTTTGCATTTTAGCTGCTGGCCTTAATTCACACGAAATCCTGGTCCCCGGTCGGCCTTCATCAGAGACCTCTAGGCGTTCGGGTTATAATTACCTGTTTTTTCCTCCTTGACCCCGTTCCTGACCTTGACCTTGACCTGCATTCAACCTTCTGTCATTGGAATTACCTCGATATTGATTAGAGTTGCCTTTACATTACTGGTTCTACCATCCAATATCTCTAGTATCTGGCTGAACTTGTCATTTATCTTACCTTCTAATTTTGTCTCCATGTTCCTCATCTTCTCCATTAACTTCTCATAGTCTTCAGATCCCGACATTCCATGCTGATTAACTGGCTTTTTCTCTGAAATGCTAGAACTTATCTCTAACAACAACATGTCATTCTTCTTAATGAAGTCCAAAACGTGTGCCTTAACAAGTCCCAATTAATACATATATATCACTTGCATCTACCAAAAAAAAAAAAAATACCGGCCCAATAGACGCAATATATAGAGTATAATAGAATAGACGCAAACTGGTCGCCCCCTTGTGAATGTTCTTATTAATATTTGATCCGCCACTCCAGTGTCTGTGTTTATACCCCCCCCTTTTTTTGCTTTTTTTCCCGTGGTATTTAAATGAGATCGATCACTGTTCATAATCTCCATCCTTCTTCATATTGTCTTCCTGAAATATTTTCTATATATCATAAAAAGGCATTAATTTATGACCCATTTTAATGCATTTTAATTTATTTTATTACATACTTAGTAATAAATACAGGTTTTTTGCATATGCGAAATGGCTGACGTCACAATAGCTGTATCAGCCCTGCAGGGCTGATATGGATTTGTGGGGCTGATAACCTACATGTATATCAGCCCTGCAAATCCATATCAGCCCTGCAGGGCTGATACAGCTATTGTGACGTCAATATCACACCCTTAGTTAATTAAACCACAAAACAGTACTTGTGATCAAAACAATTTTTGGTGGGTTCATATTCTCTTTATTTTAACTTTTAGAAAATTAAAGGTTAATCTTAATTTACAAATACATGTAAAAGATTATTTTCAAATTACGGATTGGGGACACTTGAAATAGAAGTACAGAAACAAACCGAAACTGTATGAGACAATAGACTGTGTACATTTTAAGAAGTCCGTGCATGATTATTTACTTATTTTCTTCTCAACTTAATGTGTTCTGTATTTTATTACTTAGTATGTAATAAATATAATAAAACATACCCTTTTCCACATCACATCCTGTATCAGCCCTCGACCAATATCAGCCCTCGGGCCTTCGGCCCTCTGGCTGATATTGGTGTCTCGGGCTGATACAGGATGTGATATGGAAAAGGATATGTATTATTCTCTATACACACTTAGTAATAAATACAGGTTTTTTGCATATGCGATATGGCTGACGTCACAGTAGCCGTATCAACCCTGCAGGGCTGATATGGATTTGCGGGACTGATATCCGTATCAGCCCTGCAAATCCATATCAGCCCTGCAGGGCTGATACAGCTATTGTGACGTCAATATCACACCCTTAGTTAATTAAACCACAAAACAGTACTTGTGATCAAAACAATTTTTGGTGGGTTCATATTCTCTTTATTTTAACTTTTTGAAAATAAGGTTAATCTTAATTTACAAATACATGCAATACTATAGAATATTTTCAAATGACGGATCAAGCAGGCACGTAGCATCGTTTTTGAAAGTGGGGGGGCCAACCTCAGAAAATTTTTTTTACTTGCCTAAAGAAAGTTGACAAGCAAAAAAAAAAAAAAAAAAAAAAAAAAAAAAAACTCGAAAATCCTATTTCGTGGGGTGGGTGGGTGGGTGGGTGGGGGGGGGGGGGGGGGGTAGTGGCCAACTTTCAAGACCAACTTCCTTTCACTTCCATTTTTTTCCTATATTTCCTTGCTATGTATATACTGTTGTCAAAAGTGGGGGGGCCAACCATCTTTTCAATAGACATTTTCTATAGTAAAGGTAATGTTGGGGGAAAAAGTGGGGGGGGCAGGCCCCCCCGGATGCTACGTGCCTGTCAAGTGCATTGAAATAGATCTTATGAGACATTAGACTATGTATATGTATGTATGAAGTCCATGCATGATTATTTACTTACTTTCTTCTCAACTGAATGTGTTCTGTATTTTATTACTAAGTATGTAATAAATATAATAAAACATACCCTTTTCCACATCACATCCTGTATCAGCCCTCGACCAATATCAGCCCTCGGGCCTTCGGCCCTCTGGCTGATATTGGTGTCTCGGGCTGATACAGGATGTGATATGGAAAAGGGTATGTATTATTCTCTATTGATCAAAAGAAAAATATACATATCTCAGATGGAGAATAACCGATCTCTTTGCATTTTTAAAGTATAAATCATAAAAAAAAAAATCTTATCTTATCTTATCTTATCTTAATCCTTTGTCCATGGAGGCCTAACATAAAATAGATAAGTTATATAATATAAAATAATAATTATAAAAAGCTTAATAAATACTTCGAATAAATTTATATCATCCGGGATTTAAAACGTCTCCCGTTTCAACTTTGGATTATAGACCTATTCGGGGTAACAAAAAAGGAGGTCGCTGGCCTGGTTTTTCACGTGTTTACAAAGTGACAACCGATAAAGGACGACAGTGAATAAGGTGACGGCCAGAAGATGTCAGGAGACGAAAAAACGAGGAGAACTAACTTCATTACGGTAGGTTTTAGTTCCTATCAATCCCTCATAGCAACGGTAGTGTCAACAGCTTAGCTCGAATTTACTCCAGTTATTTTATCACGTGGGTCGGTGGCAGTGCCCCATTTGATTTCTAAAAAAAAATGTACTTTAGTTTAGATATGAAAATGAAGGTGACTTTTTCATTTCTCTGGTCAGCCAACAGCCGAAATTTTAAATTTTCAATAAGGTTTTTAACTGGGTAAACATGGTAAAGAAATTAGATTAAAAATAGATTTTAACACTGTTTAACAGTGTTTATCTTTTACAATTTCTATGAAGGAATAGCCTAGTCCTTGTTATCAAGTGAGAGTCGATCTCCAGACTCGCTAGAGGTACAATGAACCTTGAAAATAAAGTAACTAAGCAGAAAAACACCCTTTTGTGTGTGCATCTGTGTGTTTAGGTGGGGTGGGGGGTCGGGGTGGGGGGGGGGGTCTTTTGTCATAAACAATAAGCTACTTTAAACATACATGTATTTTCATCATGTGCATATCCGTTTCTTCCTTTCAATTTTCATTTTTTGGAATTAGGTGGGAGGAAGCAGGGTTTAGCGGTCTGTATAGCTCTGGTAGACACATAGTGTTAAAAAGTCTGTCTAGATCACTAAAAACATAAGAACTAGGGGTACTTTGAGCTCACTAAATGATACCCCCCACCTCCCATAATGTCCATGTGTTGCTATATATTGTTTTACTGTACTGTGTAAAGAGAAATGACTTGTCCTGTCAAATGTTATCCAGAAGCTTCTATATATGTGACGTCATAGGTAAACATATAATGTAGTGGCAATGTCCATGTTTTGCTATGGGAAATCCAAAATATGTAATAAAGATTCTGTGGAAGTTTCATTAAATTTCACTCGGTAGTATAAGAGGAGATGCGGATAAGAGATAAAGGATAACAGACAGACAGACCGTGATAATTGGCTGTTCAGGTGATGTGTCTGTCAGTAATCTAAGGCCGACCTGTCAGAACCACAGTGTCGTTTGGGCTTACATAAACTGAAAAAAATTGCAGTTGTCGACCTATAATTTTTAGACTTGGTAGGTAGGTAGGCATTCTTTTTTTTTTTTGGGAAAAAAATTGTTTTTAGATTTTTGTAAGATAACATAAAATAAAATTTTTCATAGGAATATTTTACATGAATATTACACAATGGCTAAAAAAAAGTTGGGTCGGGTGCATTTTTAATGGGTTGGTAGGCAACTGCAAACAAATAATACTTTATTTTAGACCTTGACTTAAATGTTAATGATGACGTGCAGCCAAGGAGTTTGAAATTTTATGATCCAAACTCCGCTGGTTCCACCTTTCTTTGCATGAATCATGACATCACTTCCAGTGATTTTGTTCAGTGACTGGGTATGCATTAAAAATTGAAAATTGTAATTAAATATAATGAATTTTAAGTTGTAATTTCTGTAGAGAAATACCGACAACCCTTTATTCGGATGACTTCAGGTAGCATATGCCGTGACTTATGTGTTTGCTTTTATTTTTCAATCAGAAAAAGAAATACCTGATAGATTTAAATGTTTATCATGCTATAAACTCATTACTTTTCAAGCTTTGGCTGTGTATTGACTGTATTCTTCATGTTCTTTTTAGTGCTTTTGGTGGAGAGAAACTTCCACTTATTTTAATGCAATGCTAAATGTCTCTCTTTGTATTCATTAATAAGAACATTGAGAAATGCGCTAAAACAAATCTAATACATGTAGTGCTAACTTGTTCAAAATCAATTACCACCAAATATCATACACAATAAATATAAAACATGATTGAGTTGGACTTTAAAATGTTTACCATTATAAAGTGATACACACTTTTAACCTTTGACCTTTTACAGTTGCCAGATGACACCCCTGGATACAGCCTGGATGAGTTCTGTATCCCTAAACATTACGAGGACGATCTATCCCGGGTCCTAATCCCCGCAGGTCTGATTAATGACAGGTAAGTATAACATTAGGACAAGTCTGATTAATGTTAGGTCAGTATTAAAAGGACGATTTATGATGGATCAATATTACAGCGAGGATTTATCCCGAGTCCTAATTCCCATGGGTCTAATTAATGACTGGTCAGTATAGCATTAGGATGAGTTCTGTATACCTAAACATTTTAGGAGGATTTATCCCAGGTCGTAATTCATGTGGGTCTTATTCCAGAGGGTCTAATTAATGATAGATCAGTATAACTGGAGTGATTTATTCCGGGTCTTAATTCCAGTGGGTCTAATTTATGATAAGTCAGTATAACAAGGACATTTTGTCCCAGGTCCTTATTCCTCATTTGTTTGTTTATAATAACTATCCCTCTCAAGATTTTTTCACTTATATGGAGCCACTACTTGCTGGTGGAGATTGAGCTGCAAATTTTTGTCCTATGCTCGCAGCAGAATTTACAGTAATTTAGTCATAAGGGATCTCAGTACCTACTACAACACAGGACTTTGGTTAATAGGATCTCATCCAAAGGATCAATCTCCTCGTCCCATGTTGGTACTCAAAGTAAGGAACAACCCCTTGCATCGTGACTCTTGAGGAGACACTCAAACCATGTGAGCGACCTGGTTCTTACTTCCAGCAGGTCTAAGTAATTAGGGATAGATCAGACTTAGTACGAGATTTATCTTTCTCGCATAATCACCAGTGTAAGATTGACTTGTCCGGTGTGAGACAGCAGTGTGAGATTTTTCTGTCTTACACTGTGTATTACTACGCCACGAACGAGAACGTAAACATTCCGTCATTATATAAAGAAATTGTAACAAAGTAAAAAAATATAACACATAATTAAACTGTTGTCATTTAACTTATTAATATAAACTTATTTTCATTCAAAATATTGTCGTATTTTCACCTTTTTAATGGCACTTTTTTTAGATCGCGGAATGATTCTTCTTTTACGTTGTCGGATAGATAAGTTTTTTATTCCCGGTTTTTATCTTTCTGATTAATTTACACGGACTGAAAATTATTTTATCAGTTTACACTACGTGTAAACCATTTTCAGGTACGTTCTCTCCGATGGTGTATTCAGATTTTTAATTAGATGGAAAATTAAAAATATTTTTTTAGCCCCATCATGGCGACGTCATTGACAGGCCGTTATTTTGGATAAAATAATGCGAGAAAAATAATCATTCATTACGTACTCGTGTGGGAATAGTGAAATTCCACCTCGGGGCCAAGATTCACGGTCTAGGACTCGGCAAAGCCTCGTCCTAGACTGTGAATCTTGTCCCCTCGGTGGAATTTCACTATCCCACACTCGTAGTAATGAATGATTCTATTAATCTCAGGCCCTAACCTTTACCTCAATGAGACCAAGTTAATTTGACCAAGAATTTTAGATATCTAGAGTAAAATTACAAACCCTCCATGGTATTGGAGGTATCAGTGTTCTAGATAACAAAATAGAACTGTATAAGCCATACAAATGTAACGTGAAGCGGTCACCCATCCATTGGTTAAACAGGCTCTGTTGGTTAACTTGGCTGAAATAGAGGGAGACTCTACCGCATTACCAGACTGTCCACTACACAAACAAGTTACATTAAATAAATATTAAATGTATTTATTGATGAAAAAATATAGAAAATAAAGGAAGAATTTCATTTTAACAGTTTACCTGTTTATTGGTCTATATAGTGGCATAAATTAAAGAACTATATGCGGTATATTGCATTATATATTTGCCCCCGCTAAAGCCAAATTTTGAAAACTTCCTGAAATGTGCTGAGTTAAAAAAATTCTATTAGAAATATAAATTAACAGAAAATATAGTGTCAAAGCAGTGTCTTCACAATTTTTGTTTTTATGATGTCACAAACTAGTCTGATTTTATATCCTTTTTCAGAAAGGGGACAAAATGGACAAAATTTCAACAATTTTAGCCTTAAAATTTAGAGAGCGCAAGTTTGTTCAGGAACAACATTGAAATATTTCATTGATACACATGTATTATCATTCTACACATTATATCAAAATATTGATCCTGAACACACATGAGCTCGGTGACTTTTACTCAAAATATCAACTAAATATGTACATTTTTCTGTAAAATTCATGAAAAACTTTATTTAACATCATGTTTGTGAAGTCATTACATACATATGGAGTCATTACTTATGAAAATATTCAGTGTTATGAAGTCAGCATATACTCCCCTGTTTATGAACTTAATTAAATATTTCTCCATCAAAGTTTGATTTCGGGGGCAAATATTGGTTATTACAGAATAAAGTTTTTTATATTGTGATATTTTTGTTTTCATACAGAATTGAGCGACTGGCTCGTGACATTGTAGAGGATTTTGATGAGGATGGGTTGGTCGCTCTGTGTGTGTTAAAGGGAGGATACAAATTCTTCACTGACCTCCTGGATAAAATCAAAGGACTAAACAGGAATCTGGGGAGATCTGTCCCTCTAGCTGTGGATTTCATTCGACTTAAAAGCTACGTGGTATGTCGACCTATGTAAGGACTTGGAAGTACAAATATAAAAATGTACTGTAAATCACTTTTTTTGCGAGAACTTTATTTTCGAGTAATTACGCGAGATGTTATGCTAGCGAAAATTTCATTCTCACCTATTGTTGAATTCCTTAAGATTATGTACAGCAATGGCCACAATTCCTTAAAATTCTGTCTTGCTAATAAAGAGTCAATGACTATCTTGTGAATATAATTTGTCGTGAAATTCAGTGATTTACAGTTTTTTGCACAAGGTAGATGGTGTTTAAGATTGTTTATGGCCACACACCCACTGTGATTGTTTTCCTCGTGCTGTAAATGTCCTTATTCGATTTTGTGTGTTCCACAATCTTGAATAATAAAATTTTTACTTCCCTTTCAGTAAATTCAAATTGGTAAAATGATGTCTACCCTGGAATATTTTTTTTTTTTTTTTTTTTTTTTTATTTAAGTAATTTCAAGACATATACACCTTTCTCTCCCACTCTCATACCTGTTGGAGAAATACAAATACACACATTTATAACCATTTAGTATAAATATTTAAGGATAGCTACACTTCAATAAACATAGTAATATACATAAACATAAACTTACGCAATATGCAATGCATATTCAATCAGTAATTATATTCAGAATTATTTTTGGACACACTAAAAAGACATTTCCACTTGGACCATCTATTTTTGTAAAATATATTACCTGACAATTTTTCTTCTAAACAATAGTAATTATTTAAATATTTTAAGATTTCATTAAAAACAATATTATTGTTCTTTCTTGATTGTTGAAATAAGTATTTCTTCACTAGTAGGATAATCAAATTAATTGCCATATGATCTTCTTCTAAATTACCAAAAATAACAGTTTTGACATCAAATACCATTCTTGTACCAGACTTTTGAAATATCCAATCTGACAATGCTAACCAAATCACAGAAACCTGTGGACAGTAAAAAAATAAATGTTTGATTGATTCTGGTTCTAAATTACATATTGAACAAAGTGGTGAATTTTTTATTTTTGACAGATATAAGTTCTTATTAGTACCTAATATTCTATGGATAATTCTATAGTTGAACCACATAAGTCCAGAGTCTTTTGTTGTCAATTTAAAGTTTGCATAAACATGTTTCCAATCAAAATTTAACTCTAATTTTAGATCAGTATCCCATTTGTTTTCACAAATAGGTCTGTGCTGTGTTTTTGACATCAAATAATCATAAATATTTCTGGATCCTTTTCTGTTCTTACAAAGTATTTTTACAAATTCAGGTTGATATGGTTTAACAACAGTATAATATAAATATTGTTTGATATTAGGCCATGCAGTCAGAATGCTTTGCTTCAAACCTTCATATGTGGTAAAAGGTAACTTTACAAAATAATCATTTGTAATACTTTCATAACTAATAAAATTGCCTTCTGTATTGAATAAATCATGCACTATATGGAACCCTTTATCGAACATTGGTTTACAAAATACATATTTATTTTGAATCTTTATTTTATTATTATACCACAGTGAATGTAAATTAAAACTCTCTATAAACTCACTAAAATAAAATAAAGTTTCTTTCCAAAACATGTTTTGTGTGATTTTTGCCCTTTGTTTACAATATTCAGGCCCAACACTACATAACTTGTTAATATTACATCCAGTAATTTCTGAAAAAAGATTACTCCAATCTGGATTACTACTTAAAATTCTCCTTATCCAAGTTAGTTTAAGAGATTTAATAAATGTTTCTATATTAGTCATTCTTAATCCACCATTTCCAAAATCCAGTTGCAATGTTTTTCGAGAAATTCTATCAACTTTGTTTCCCCATATAAATTTATATAATGTTTTTTCAAATAGCTGTATCCATTGCGAACTAGGTTTTGGAAGGGATGTAAATAAATGAGTGAACTTTGATAGGAACAAACTTTTTACTACTGTTATTTTTCCCAAAGGGGTAATATTTCTCTTTGACCAATGGTTTATTTCTTTTTGAATAAGTTTAAATTTCTTATCAAAGTTAAGTTCCTCCATTTTTTTTAGATTTGCTGTATATGTTATACCAAGAACAGTAAAAGGTTCGGTTGTCCATTTTAATCCTGTATCAGTACAAATTGCATTTTCTGTGTCAAATTTAGAACCAATCCAAACTGCTTTTGTTTTAGAAATGTTAGGTTTTAAACCCGAAAATTTTGAAAATTGAAAAAGAAGATCCAGAGCACTTTTTAGACTCTTTTCTGTTCCATCAAGAAAAAAAACTGTGTCATCTGCATATTGTAAAAGACATACTTTTTCCTTCCCTATTTTAATGCCTTTTATATTTCTATTTTGTCGAATCATGTGTCCTAAAATTTCTACACAAAGATTAAAGAGGTAAGGAGATACCGGGTCACCCTGACGACAACCCCTACCAATTTCAAAAAATTTTGAAAAAATACCATTCTGAATGACACAAAGATTAGCTTTGTTATATAATACTGAAACCCATTATATAAGATCAGGACCAAAATTAAAGAATTTCAAAGTATTATACATAAATTTCCATGATATAGAGTCAAATGCTTTTTCGAAGTCAATAAGTAATATCATACCAGGAATATGTTTTTCATGCACCGTATTTATTACATCATAGATTATTCGTGTATTCTCTCCGATAAATCTCCCCTTGAGGAATCCTTTTTGGTTTTTATTGATTACACAGTCAAGAACCTTTTTAAGTCTGTTTGCAATGCATGCAGATGCGATTTTATATGTTACATTAAGAAGAGATATTGGACGCCAATTACTAAGAAATTCTCTAGGTTTATCTCCTTTCGGTAAAATTGATATAATACCTTGTTTCTGGGTTATTGATAGCTCTCCTTTTTGAAAACCTAAATTTATTGATCTTATTAAAAAGCTTCCTAAATCCTTCCAGAAAAATTTGAAAAATTCTGTAGTAAAACCATCACTGTCTGGGCTTTTATCATTTTTCATATCTTTTAAAGCAGAGAGGGCTTCCCCTTGAGATATGGTACCTTCCAAGCTATTAGACAAATGTTCATCCAAAATAATTATATCTTCTTTATTTATAATTTTTTCTAAGTTTACATCAGTTAGCTTGTTGTCACAACAGGAATATAAGTTTTTATAAAAACTTTCAATTTCTGTGAGTATTTCACCTTGGGAAATAATAGTGTTACCATTGCTTTGAATGATTTTGCTTATAGTTTTATTAACATAGTTTCTTTTTTCCAAACTAAGGAAATATTTTGTAGGTTTTTCTCCCTGTTCTATCCATTTTAATTTAGTTCTAACAAATAATCCTTTAATATAGTCTTTTCGAAATTCTTCTAGCCTGTTTTGAGCTCTATTTAATCTTTCGACAATGTCATGTGACTCATTATTACTTCTTAAAGATTCTAAAAACTTAATTTCTTCTTCGATAGATTTAATAGTTTTATTTTTTATTTCCTTTTTTCTAGAGCAGTAACATATTGTTGCACCTCTTATGCATAATAGTAACTGTTCAAAAAATAGTTGATCGTCAATACAAATACACAATTCTCTGTCGTCCACTAAACTAATAGTGGAGGGGTTGTAGGGAGAGGCAGCATATTGTAACTTTACTTTTTGAATTGTTTCCTTAACACAATTAATATAAAGCTGGTCTTTTAGAAGAGAGTTATTGAATTTCCAAAAACCTTTTCCCCTTTCAAAATTATTGAGTTTGATGTAGAGTTCAATTATTGAGTGGTCAGACCTATATCCTGGCTTAATATCAACCTTATCAACTAAAGCCATCAATTCATTAGAAACTAAGAAGAAGTCAAGTCGGGCTTTTTTTATAGGATTATTCTTAAACCATGTGTACTTTTTTCTCTGTTCATGTTTTACCCTCCAAGGATCAGTCAAACCATGAATATCTTTCATATTCAGAACAATATCCCTTGCTTTTTTGTTATTTATATTTGTGTAATTATAGTAGTCCAATACTGTGTCCTGAACCAGATTAAAATCGCCAGCCATAATTACAAATTCACCCTGGAAATTTGAGACTATATCTGATATTGATTGAAAGAAAATTGGATCATCTGTATTTGGACCATATAAATTAATTAGTAAAATGTTGTATTTGTTGAATATGTTAAGTTCCAATATCAACAGGTTACCTTCCTGATCTACATGTTCATTCATGATTTTATATTCAAAAGTATTATTAAACAAAATAGCAGTGCCTCTGGCATTAGATTGTCCAGGAGAAATATAAACATCATAACCACATAAAGACCTTATATCATTGTAATCATTTTTAGTGAAATGTGTGTCTTGTAGAAGGTAAACAGAAAAATGTTTTTGTTTAATGTAGTTAAGCACATCTCTCCTTTTTTCTAATCCCCCAAGCCCTCTACAGTTTAAAGACATGATATTAAAGCTCATAGAAGAATAATTAATATGGTGTAAAAAAACAATAATTTTTCAGTAAATATACACCTAGAGTGTATTGTGCAGACAATGGGAAGGATGCGTTTAAAAAAACTAAATAAATAACATTGATTTGGTGCATGCACGTTAGTGCGCATATAAATTGTGATACTATTTCTACCCCAACAGAATTCACACATACATCTTTCACACACTGACATAGCTGCAGATCTGTAGCTCTCTGCTTGAGAAAATTCGGACAGATAGAGCAGAGAGCTACAGATCCAAGTGTTGTAAAAACCTTCGATTTACGCCGACGATTTTTTGTCGCTCACTTCGGGTATTTCTTCTTGTATTATGTACTTTCCCCAGCTTTAAAAATGGTTTTTAATAATTAATCATACATTTAACTTCAATTCCTGATAAATGTCATACCTTTCAACGTTAACAAATGGCTATTTGTGGTTACGGACGTCGAAACGGAACTCTTTTACACCGACATTACAAAACTATATACAGGGCTGTTTCAGACTGTTAAAAGGTAAATAAACTGTAATAAAGTATCAAAAATAAGAGTTTAATATATAATTAATTATAGGATACAATTCCAAAAGCCAGAGAAAGTTTTAACTACACGAAATAAATACCTAGAGTAGCGACAAAAAATCGTCGGCGTAACTCGAAGGTTTTTACACCGTATGGATCTATAGCTCTCTGCTTTATCTGTCTGAATTTTCTCCAGCAGAGAGCTACAGTTCTGCAGCTAACACTGACAAAGACAAACACAAAAACACGAAAAAATAAAGATATGTAATTCCTGTAGACACCTGAGTGGCTCATTAATAGCACAAATTTTATTTTTGTTTACCCAGCTACTTTGTCACTCATCACCGGAAGTGTTCATGGCCGTCTAAATTACAAAGGAAATTCCGAACAGAGTCACTTTTTCCGAATTCTTTCGTCAACGGAGTCAAAAATGTCAAACTTAATTCTGCGTTTACCGTATTGTCCATATACTGCTCCGTTGAAATACCAAGCGCCGTCGATTCTAGGGTCGTCACTGAGTTTGGATATCAACATCGCGTTGTCCCGTGTCACGTCATCTGCGATTCTCCACCCCTGTTTCAGTTCCTTTATGTCGCCTCTCTTTCTCATTATTGTCGCTTTAGCATCGGGGCTGCGCAATTTGACAATTATTGGTTGGGGTTGATCCTTTTGTCCTGATGGAATTCGGTGCATCGCTATCACATCAGTTTCGGATATAGCCACACCCACTTCCCCTAAGGCCTCATTAATCTTTTCTAATAAGTTTTCGTCTTTTGCCTCGGGAAACCCATGAAACTTAATATTTGTTTTTCTGGAGTACTGTTCATTAAAATTTGCTTTTGCGGCAGCGCTTTTAGATAGCTTCTCTACTTCTCCCACTCTATTGTACACATCGTTTAAAGCGTCATTGCTTTCATTCAGCTCCCTCTTAAGCTCCGAATTTTCTTTTTTTAAATGTTCAATATCTTGATTTAGCTTCTGATTGTCTTGTTTAAGTTGCAAAATTTGGTCGTTCATTTTCTTTTCAAAATTCTTTAAATAATTGGAGAGTAACTCCTCTACGACATTTTTAATGATATCCCTGATGTCGTCAACTTTGACTGATTTTTTCAGATCACTTTTTATTTCAGAAAGTTGCGCCTGAATTAAGAGCATTTCCTCTGACGGTCTCTCCGACGCCTTTTCCGATTTCTCTTGTTTTTCTTGTTTTTGATTATGGTTACTTGGGTTTTGAGATGTTTTTTTAGAGATAGGACTGTTTGTTGACTTGCGTGAGTTAGAATTCGAATTTCTGGTAACAACACCACTGGTCGACATTGTCAAGTATTTGTCTATCGTGTTGATACTCATAAAACCGGTTTGGGCATGTAACTATTTATAGTAATAACTACTCACGTCAAAGTTTGGATTGAAAACTCCTACAAAAACATCATTTTGCACTTTAGGTCTCCAAAGAATAACAGTCCTGAATCTCTGAACACACTTGATTATAGCTACTTCATCCAAGACACCAAACTTTTTAAGTTATGTGCTATAATGGCCACTCTACCTCTCCGTCACTAAGCGTGGCCTACTCTAACGGGCGCCATTACCGGAATCCAACCCTGGAATGTTGTTTAATCCAGCAAAATCCAAAGATTTCCAGAGTAGACAAGTATTACTGTATCACACTGTGATTTGTACATCCAATTTAAAGTCTTGATTTCTGGGGACATTTTTGCCAAAAAAAAAATGTAAACTTGAACCCTATTGATATTTGATCATTAATAAATATGAATCAAGGTATTTGTCAAGATCATTTTGAGCAAACCTGTTACAACCACTACCATGATTGCCCATTCAAGTTTAAGTCTGTTTACCCCTTTAATGAGTTTCAAAGACTCTGGCAATGCAATTTTTGTATATTAAATAGTGCATTTTTTATTTGAATGAATTTCAACATTATTTTGAACAGAACAGAGAGAAAGCTTGGAGTAAAGTAAGGATTTTGTATCCCAAACACTATGGATACTGCACTGATTTGTTGGAAGGGGGAGGGGCAAGGGGGCCAATAGGGGTGGGACTATTGGAGACTTTTCTACTTGGTGATCTAAGCTTATGATGGATTTCAGTGGATGTCACCATACTGAGACAAGGTGGTTTGTGGCATCTTTGTAAATGGGGTGAGGGTGGGGTGTGTGGTGGGGGGGGGGGGGGTATAAGAGAATAAACAGTTTTACTGTTTCCATCTGTGAAACAGTAAAATTATGATAAACTTGGAATTCATTGAAATGTCTTCAGAGTTGCTAATGTGTCAATCATTCATCAAACTGTTAAATTTTCCCAAATTATTGTCTTAAATCCTGACACAGCACTCTATAAATACCCTTTACCCTTTCTCACGAAACCTCGGTCAATGCTTCTCCTAATCACAGAAAGAACTTCAATAAATTTTATGTCACATTTAAAATTGATTTCATCTCTTCTCCTTAGACAACTAGCCCAAAGTTATTAAGGATGTAAAAATCTCAGATATCTCTTCTTGTGAATAAGTTAATCATTCAGAATTCTAGGGGTCGTACAAGACAACGTCTGATTGCAAAAAGTGCATAAATGGCTCTTTGGATAAATATGTGTTCAGATGATGAGATATCAAAATGAAGCTAGCCAGGAAAATTTGTGGCCAGAAAAGGGCATACATTAATTATGTCTGTTTACAATTATGTTCTAGGCCAAATAGAAAATGGGATCAGTAGGAAGGGTATTTTGTTTAAGAAGTTTTTATAGACATTATTTAAGATACATTTTTTGCAGCATAAGCTCTCTTTTTCAAGCCATAAAATCTTATTGGTTTTAAGCATGCATTTATAACAGGCAGTTGTTAAACATTATTTTGCAAACTATAAAATGTTATGTTTGAAAATTTATACAGACAAGCAATTTCTAGATTTTAAAATTACAAAAACAAATATTTGGGTTGGTACATAAAATTGTGTTTGCTTGGGCAACCATTAAGAAATATTTTTTTTGGGCCTTTGTTACATGTTTTAGATGAAGTGTATGAATGACCTACTTTTCTATTTATAGGATGACCAGTCTTCTGGACAGATTGAGGTCATCGGGGGAGATAACCTGAAAAACCTTAAGGGAAAGGTGAGTCATCTGACCATGGTCAGGAGAATCTATTTTACTATGTAATTAGTTATGATTGATTATTTGAAGTGTCATGAAGTGTCATTTGAGAAGTGGCAATTGCCATTGAACATGCACTGACCCTGAAGTGAATTCATCTAGATCTTTAAACATGCTTTATATGCAGTTTTGTGATCAATTTGCATTTATAGAAATTATACAAGGACAATAAATGGACTAGTAAATAAGTTCTGTTACACATTTAAAGAAAGTTTTCCCTTGTTTTCAGAATGTTTTGGTTGTGGAAGACATCATAGATACAGGAAAAACCATGCAGAAGTTACTGGCCCTGCTACAGAATGTTAAACCTAAGTGTATAAAAGTAGCCAGGTATGTTATGCTACAGAATGTTAAACCCAAGTGTATCAAAGTAGCCAGGTATGTAATGCTACAGAATGTTAAACCTAAGTGTATCAAAGTAGCCAGGTATGTAATGCTACAGAATGTTAAACCTAAGTGTATAAAAGTAGCCAGGTATGTAATGCTACAGAATGTTAAACCCAAGTGTATAAAAGTAGCCAGGTATGTAATGCTACAGAATGTTAAACCTAAGTGTATCAGAGTAGCCAGGTATGTAATGCTACAGAATGTTAAACCCAAATGTATAAAAGTAGCCAGGTATGTAATGCTACAGAATGTTAAACCTTAGTGTATCAGAGTAGCCAGGTATGTAATGCTACAGAATGTTAAACCCAAGTGTATCAAAGTAGCCAGGTATGTAATGCTACAGAATGTTAAACCTAAGTGTATCAGAGTAGCCAGGTATGTAATGCTACAGAATGTTAAACCCAAGTGCATAAAAGTAGCCAGGTATGTAATGCTACAGAATGTTAAACCTAAGTGTATCAGAGTAGCCAGGTATGTAATGCTACAGAATGTTAAACCCAAGTGTATCAAAGTAGCCAGGTATGTAATGCTACAGAATGTTAAACCCAAGTGTATCAGAGTAGCCAGGTATGTAATGCTACAGAATGTTAAACCCAAGTGTATCAAAGTAGCCAGTTATGTAATGCTACAGAATGTTAAACCCAAGTGTATCAAAGTAGCCAGGTATGTTACAGAATGTTAAACCCAAATGTAGGCAGGTATGTACTGTTACAGATAAATATAGATTGTACAAGAGGCCAATGACTAAGCACTGTGGCTTGGAAAGAAGTAGAAATAAGATCAGTATTGAAAAGTTTAAATGCATAAGTGGTCCCTATCCTTAACTAACTAAGGATGCTTTTATATATTTCTTGGACTAACTGTGACTTTTCCCCTTTAAGTTTCAACTTCGCACTGTGATCCCACTTTCCCCCCTGTTGGTCATAATAGCAACAAGCTTGAATCAACATTACCTGAGGATGCTTTCCGATAAATATGACTAAGCATGTTCTTGAGAAAAAATTTTTAAAGATTTTTCCTACAAATTCCTATATGAAATTTTGATTTTCCTTTTGGGTTCATGATTTGAACATACTTGTATCTACACTACCTGTTTCCTTGTAAAATGACCAATCAATCATTTTGCTGGTCCTGTGAAGAAGGTTTTTGATGGATTTTTCATATATATTCCTATGGAAAATATTGCTCCTCCATTGTGCCCCAGCCCTACTCCCTTGGATTATGATGTGAACAAACTTGAATCTACACTACCTGAGGATATTTCTATATAAATATCACCGATCAATGGTTTTATCATTCTTGTAAAGAGTGTCAAACTCTGCTTGTCCATTGTGGCCCCGCCCTACCCCTAAGTTTCATCTTTCCTAGCCCATTGGTTCTAGAGAAAATTTCTAATTGAAGCCATTGATTTTTCAAATATGAAGAAGAGCATAGTTTGTTATTGAATAAACTTGAATCCTTTGATTAATTTGATTAAAATTGCCCCAATGGTTCTTGAGAATAAGTTGAAATAGTAAAACATTTACTGTGGAGGCCATAAAAAATATGAAAAGAAAAGTTCATTTGAGCTCTTAGCTCAGGTGTGCTGAAAATCAAACTGTATTATTAAGTCAAGTGTGCATTGTTAAATTTCAATGTATGAGAGACATTCCAAAATGATTAATAGTCAAATATCCATATGTTACACTGAAGATCTCAAATGATATGGATTGTTTGTTTGATTGTAATTATTGAAGACTTTTTTTTTAATTTTCAGTATGCTTATGATTGATGATTGTTTTTATTGTTATTTTTTTATACTGTAGTAATTTAGTTAATACTTTGATTTTCAGTATGCTGGTGAAGAGAACAATAAGGAGTTCTGGATATAAACCTGATTGTAAGTACAGGTCATGTGACTGGTCATGTGATGTCATATGATTTGGTCATGTGATTTAGTCATTTGATGTCATGTGATCTGATCATATGACTGGTCATGTGATCTTGTCACTCATCTTATGGCAAGTGTTCTGGTTAACATTTAATTATCAAACATCAGTATTTCATTTCTTGTTCACATTTGTTAAAAATTATTCACATAGAAACATATACAGTGAAACTTCTCCAAACCAGCCCCCCTGGAAACCGGTTCTCCCTGAACATCGGCCAAATATTTTAGTCCCGGCAAAATTCCTAACATTTCTTTACACATAAACTCTCATAAAACCGGCCACCTCTGAAAACCGGACACCGGCCACTTTTCCAAGAACAAAAGTTAAGAAACATAGGAAATTTCCCCTCACCATACCGGCCACTTTTTGATTGCAAGAAATTAATTGTCATTGGCCGGAGAAGTAAAAAGGACCGGCCGGAGGTGTGAAAAATAGCCTACCCATTAGAAGTCAGAGGTGTGAAAAACTGAATATGGCTTCATATAATCTCAGCGAGATGGGTAGAGACTGAAAATTTTCAGTCTCTACCCATCTCGCTGAGATTAGGCTTCATAGTGTTTTTCTACTGTTTAACCGTCTTGAAGGGGTAATCATCTTGCCAGACAATGTAAATGGCCGGTCTAAGTTGTGTACATAATTATGATTAACAAAAATTAAACTTGAATTAGTAAAATATCAAGCAACTAATAAATTTAAATCACAGAATGAATCAACAAATTATCGCACGCCATATTGCATCATCTTTTTAAATACACATAAGGGGCCTTAAAATTTGTTACAGATACATAATGCTAAGAAAAAAAATATTATACTAGTAAAATATTTACCAAAATATACATTTTTTAAATTAAAATAACAGAAATATTTCTCAGAAATGTTTTAATTATTTACCTAAATTTCACTGAAGTACAATTTTTTTTAATGAGTTGACGTAAGCGATACATGGATGCATGCAGTATACTGTATACATTTAAGGTAAAGGGTCCTGGTTTTATTTCTTTGCATATGATTAATAAAGTAACATTTTCATGATTTTTTTCTCTTTTGTTTTTTAACTTCTTTCTATAAAAACCAACAAGTATGACGAATTTATCCTCAATAATATTAATTTATTTTTTAGACCTTAAGAATACATTACGTGTCTGCCGATAATTAATAACATGTTGACAGATAATAATAACAGACAATTATATATTTTTTCTAGCATCTATCACATATTAGTTCTGCAGTTCTTCAGTATGTTAGATTCTCGGGAAACCGGCCACCCCTCTAGTCCGGCCATTTAATTCAGTCCGGCAGCTGGCCGGTTTAGAGAAGTTTTACTGTATAAAATTATATCCTAAATTTTATTATTTAAAGAGTGAAATTAATATTGTATAATTGGGTTAGGGGAGTTTTAATACAATTTATGAATTATGAAGTGGTTTATGAAAAGCAAAATTGCTCCTACCCAATTAATACCATGTAAATAGGGTAATATGTATGAAAATCATTCTAACTGTGTTTTAATTTTCATTCATTTATTGTTTAAAAGAACAATTGCCTTTAAAAATGACCTCAAATTCTGCAAAATTTAAGTGTAACCTCATGAGGAACAATATGCTTATGACACAAGTCACGACTTTCGCAAAACACTTTATTAAATACTATATATAGGATTTCCTATGGTTTGTGGTTGGATATGATTTCTTATCAAATGTGTTTTTATCCTAGAGACTTGTCAAATGAAATTTTGCATGAACTCAGTGTGTATGACATTTTCATTGTGGGCTACGTTTTAATTTCAGATACTGGGTTTGAAATCCCTGATATTTTCATTGTGGGCTATGCCTTAGACTACAACGAATACTTCAGGGATCTTAATGTGAGTATTTATATCCAGCTAAGACAGTAAAAAAGTTGAAGACTTTCATTTAAGGAAAATATTATTTTTTTTTAAGATTACGTTATTGTTATTTTGTTTGAGGAGATTTTATTATTAAAAATTTGAAAATTTGCAATTGTTGCATTTCTCTCTCTTTGAATTTCAATATCTTTTAAAAATGCATGCTTAGGAATCTAACCATTTAATAAACAGATACAATAACATTGTAGTGTTATATATATATATTCTTTATAATTAAGATAATTTCTCCTTTTTACAGCATGTTTGTGAAATTAATGAAGCAGGCAAGAAGAAATATGCATCCAAATAACGAAAGCCATATTCTTTTAATGACTGAATCAAATGATATTAGAATTGGGGACCAGTAATCCACCTTGGAATATGTCAGCTAAAATAACGATGATTAAACACAGATTACATGGTGGATTACAGTGGAGTAACAGTAATTTTCTGAGATTATAATACAATGTACATCATAAGGCAAGCAAATCAAATGAATTAGATTTCTTGTGGTTCACAGATCTTGTTTTGTTACAAAGGATGGGCTTCCAAGTTTATCTAAATTTACTATTTTTTTTTATTATAGAATTATTATATGATTTTTTTCTTTTTTTAAAAACAAGGGTTAGTTAAACATAATGCTAATTTTGTATCATTTTGTATGTTATATGACTTCTTTACCTTACTATAGACTGGCAAAATATTTGCAAAACAATTGCAATTGTTTTCTTTTTTTAAATCATGAAATTTTAACACAGTGAAATTAAAATGACACACTTTATGTGAAACAGATAAAAGTATTGGGAGCATTTAGAAATATTTGGTAAAATCTTCCAAATTAAAGGAAGCAGGGGAAAAATCGGAGTAGCCAATAAGATTTAAAAACATATTAAATGTAGTTCATGTTCTCTGTTATTCTGTATTGATTAAACTGTGTTGTACATGTTGGGACCAAAGATATCCAGAACCGTTTCTGTTGATTCTTACACAATCTAAATAAAACGATCAGGGAAATCGGAAATAATGTTATTGTGACAAAAGATTTAGAAGATTGTATTTACCTTATTTTCTATGAAAATAAATATTTTTCTTAAGGTATAAGGGGTGTAATGGCCATGACCTTGAATATGACCTAATTAAGCATAGTTATAATAAACAACACTTTCGGCAATATTTCCCTTAGTTTCATGCAATTTTGTCCATGCATATTTCTTATGGGCTCATTAATGTAACTGTACCCTCTCGCCAGTGGTGCACCCTTAATAGACAAAGGGTAGAGATGTAATTTTTCTAGTAAGCCAGAGAACAGTTTAATGTTTCATGTATTCATCTGTAAAAGTAACCCCTACGATTGTAGACATTCAATTTTTTTTAGTTCAGAGTCATCAGATGTGATATATGAATACTTGTAATCGAGAGAACTTGTCTGCTTTCAGTGAAAATTTTAGCAATATTGTTATAAAACCGTTTATATTATTCTGCCATAGAAAATTATGGTAGGGATGATCAATAAGAAAACATAGAAAACTTTGTGTGACATGTATTTGTGATAATATAACCACAAAAAAGAATTATTCTATCCACAATATTTATCTATATTCTACATCAGAGTGATGTACCCCCTAAAAATGTAAGCCATTATTTTTTTTTTTGTTCATGGTATAGGGTAGGTTGTAATGAAATAACTAATGAGCTTGAGCATATATAAACAGAAGATGATTGTCATACTAAACTCAATTCAGATTAGATTCATTTGCTCAGAAAATTGACCTCTTCTCACACTGACCTTGACCTAGATAGGGTTTACAAAATAAACTATATTTTTGCAGTTCCCATGTGTATAAAGTTCTTAATAGTTTTTATTTACTTTACAATGAAGGCTAAAATATATCTAACATATCGCAAAACACTGATCAAAGGGTTTTAAAAACTATATTGTGCCTCACATATATTATAAATTAACAAAATATGCATAAATAAATATGTTGAACCCCCCCCCCCCCCCCCGTTTCCGACGCGGCTAAACTCTTTCAAAGAATAAATAAATAAAAACCCCACACGGATAAAATTCACCCTGACCTTACCCAGAATATTTTTTTGTTCTCATAGCTGATATAATTTTTTTGTTAAAGTTCTAAACATATAATTACATTTTTTTTTCTGATCGATCTATTTAGATCATCTCAGATATTTCACGTACATGTTTGATAACATGGATAATTGAACGTGACATAAATGTATGTTGCATGAGTATCTAAATATTTTAAGTCTGTTTTTTCAATTATTTTTCAAGAAACCGTCAATATTTCACAAATCCTGAGAATCATTTAGCACGGCCACAGGTTTGCACAATTCCAGGATATTACATTATGTAGGGATTATATGTACGCAACATCTGTCGATTTATTGCAGATTCCACAATACACGCCATGCTATTGATATTGTAACATACATTATTCTTTCAAACTGTTAGCTGATACTAAGAGAATCACAAAATTACAATGAAAAGTTACTTTGTTTGTTTTTTTCGAAATCGGTGCTATTTCTAGAAGTTGGAAAAACCCTTGTAGTGTGTATATGAAGATAACATCGTTTTAACTGCATATTTTGCCAAACCAAATTATAGTTAGGTGTTTTCTATTTAATATCATATCAATTCTTTCCTTTGATTAGTTATAATCTGTTCCTTTGGTGTATGTTTTATGATAGCGTCCTAGGCCGTCTTGACGACGCGCCATTTTTGTTTACGAAGATAGATGTTCCGAGAACTGCCGATGTCAAACACCTCGGCATTTTAACCGGAAGTGGCCTATTACACCGCTAAATCCTTAACACAATGTTGGGATTTGAAATTCTTTTTAAACAGAGAAATGTTCGATGTAGTAAGGTCTAATCATCTGTTTCAGTTCCACTGAGAAAAAAGAATTAGATTTCTACAATAGAAGTATAAGTTAATCTAAGAGGAAAAGGTTTGAATTGATTTCAGATTTGCCTCCTAATGTTGATATAACAACCAAGCTATGTGATAAATGTGATGACTTAAACTTTTCTATCGTCAACTACCCTTACTTATGCAGCAATATACCTTCATCACCTGCATACGGATTATATATATCTCAGTTGAATCGATACGCAAGAGCATGCAAGTATGAACAATTTCCAAAACGAGGTAAATTATTGACAAGCAAATTGATGAAACAAGACTTTCAGCAGTCTCCTTTAAAGTCATCATTTCACAAGTTCTATGGTTGATACACTGACCTTGTCAGCAAATGCAATTTATCATTGAATCAAATGCTGACTGTCGTTTTTCATACTAATTATAACTCCATCATCTATACACTAAATTGACGACAGATTTTTCCGTTTTTCCCGATCATGACAAGGAGCAAACGGTGGGTGTACATTATCTCACCATATTTCATTATTAAAAATTATACAATAGTAGGTCACAAGGACGTAGGCCATCTTTTGAATTTATCAAAGTATTCATTTTTCAGATTGATCAAAATTCATATCTTGAACACTGTGAAGTCTAAAATCGTGTAGCCAAAGGTGTTTCACAATTTATCAAATTTTACAAAGGGAAGTAAATCTCAGCCAAAAGAATCTAACAACAGTGTACACGGAAGTAAATGTCACTTCCTTTAATATGAATGTCTAATAATAATGTGGCCTTGACAAGCAATTTACCCGAAATAAGCCAGTCTCCTACTTTTAAAGTTTTGTAGCATTTCATATCCTCATCAAAATGTAAATACACTTGCCATAAAATTTTATTTATTTATTTATTTATTTTTTTTTTTTTTTTAATTTTTATTGGGCCATATTGAAAAAATAAAAAAACAAAATATTAATTTTATTTATTTTTAAGTATATTAAGTGCGTTTTTTTACACGAATTTAAAAGAAAATGGAGTACGAAAAAACAATATGAGTACCTACTGTTTTTTTTTTTAAATCGTCTAGATGTTAAAAAATTTTTGTAGGAAAATAAAGTATGAATTATTAAGTGAGAAAATATACAGGTGTATAATACAAAGGAAATATCTGTAATAAATATTACTTTTTTTTAATGTAGCAGGGCCACACCATATCATGATATCAGGTACAAATTTTAAAACACCTTTCTCGTTTTATCATCTGTGTCATACAGAACAATGGGTTAGTTTATGTAATTTGAAATCCGAGTGTCGTGTGCAAATCCACGGATTGTCAAACCTGCTGACTTCCGTGCAGTGATGCAAAAGTTGGGTAGGGGAAGACACACTTGGTTGCTCAAGAATTTATTTTAAAATTGAAGATAAAGGTTTCATCGTTAAATGCAATTATATGTTACAATAATTAGACTTCATGTTGATTGGATGAATGGTCGTATAAACATTGGGGTACGGGGGGGGTCGGGGGGGGGGGGGGGCGTGCCCCCAAATCATTTGCCAATACATAAGATTACTATAGAAAATATAGTTACTATACGCTTGTGCCCTTTCAATAGAAACGTCTTGATGACATTTTATTTCCTTGTCAAGGAAGTTTTGGTACCCCTCAAATGAAAATGTGTTCCTCTCAAAACCGAAATAGCTTCATACAAGTCTGATAGAGAGTGCATAAACAGAAACAGCGGTTAATATTGTAACTAGTTTAAAATAAAAAAAATATTTTGAGATAGCGAACAGAGGGATCTTAAAAGTATCACACATGTCCTGCAATCTTCAGTTATGTAAAAAATTTATAACTACATTGATTGGTTATAAAACAAAACACCGCAACTGACATTTTCTGAATGAAATATATGTTACTGTATGTTTGTCAATTTAACAATTTATTTTGTTTAAATATGTATACATGGTAAAGGTATTGCCCTTTGTTTCTGTATATAATATTTACTTGACAAGAAAAAAAATCTGTATCTTGTTGAATAGGAATAAATGTTTCATAAAGTACAAATCAGAATGAGATAGAATAACAATGTGAATACCAGCTTTTATGATGTCATTATTAAGAAGCGGAATTTCATTACCATCCGATGGCGATAATTACTTTTTAACATTAAAAAGGAGCTGTTTATAAACATATGTGATTCAACACCACCCAGGAATCTGAAACAGTAGTGCAGATCATTTTGTAGCATTTTCAGTGACTTCACAAGAAGGGAATAGAAGTTTCAGTTCTCAGGATTAAATCTGAAAAGTGTGACACAAATATTCAGTGGACCCTGTATATATAGAGTTAGGACATCTGTACTGATTGCACAGCTTCTACTGGAAATGATATTCTGAATCAAGAAACACGCGAGACTTGTTTAGCAGAGCGAACGTTGGTGAGTGCTCGCCAAAATTCCTGATACCTCCAATATTAATTTTGGCGAGGGCTCGTGAACGTTCGCCCATATTTATAGATATTGTAGAAAATAGAGTGCTAACAAATTATTATAAAGTCATTTATTTATCAAGTTAATGTATGACTAAGAGAATTTCTAATACCTTATCATTTATTTGGGAGGAAAAAATAAAATACAAAGAATCAGCCCCTCATTGGTAGGACGAAAAATTAGAATAGCTTTGTTCTTATTATATAATTACATGAATAGATAACATTACATGCATATGTGTTAAGCTATCACTAGGAAAATGTTATGTACTAGCCAAAAAAAAATTGTTGCACAAAATCTAGTAGCTAATTATAATTCAACATTGAAGAGTTTTTGAAAAGGAAATTTAAAAGAAGTAAAGTACTGATCAAGATTGAATACACCTTGTTGTGTTTTTCTATTCAATTTTCGTTATCGATGTATCCCTACAAACTGTAAATTTTTCTCTCCATCCTTGTATATATATAATGCACAATTAGACATGTAAGAAATAGTAATTAAAATGAAACCAATCTTAGAAAAAAAATCAGTTTGAACGTAAGAGTTTGATAGATTTCATCATTAAATGCAATCATATTTTATAATACTTAGACTTAAAGTTGATTGGATGGTTGGACACGGCTGTAGAAACTGGGGGACCTGCCCCTCCAAATAATATTGCCGATATACTAGTTAAACATTACTATAGAAAATAAAGCTACTTTATGCTTGTGCGCTTTCTAAAGAAGCGTTTTGATGGTTTTTTTCAGTGTCAAAATAGTTTTGGTATATCGTAGTCGATAATGCCCCCTCAACTGAGATTGTATGGATTTGCCCTCCACAAACCGAAGTTGTCTCCTACCGGTCTGATGGAGAGTGCATATGCAGAAACAGCTGTAAATGCTGTTACTCGTTTGAAATGAAATATTAAGAGATAACAAAAAGTAGGATCATAACAGTATCACACAAGTCCTTAATGCAATCTTAAGTTATAGAAAAGTTTAAACGTACGTTGAATGATCCTAAAACAACACAATGCAAGTGACCTTCTTTGAATAAAATATATAAATGTGTATATATAATGTTTGTCATTTTAATTAGTTGTTTTGTAAATGGTTATCAATTGCACTTTTTAAGTGGGAAAACCATTACATTTTGACAAGAAAAAAAAGTCTGTTTCCAGTTGAATAGGAGTAAATGTTTTATAAAGTACAACAAGCAGATAAAATAACAATGCAAATGCAAATTTTTATGACATCAGTATAGTGTAGCGAAATTTTATTACAATATGATGAGTAATTCTAGTTCACTTTAAAAGGACGTGTTCATGATAAGGTAAAATTCAACGCCACCCAGAAATCAAACACGCTAGTTAAAAAATGCCTCATGCAGATCATATTTAAACATTTTAGTGACTTTGCAAGATGTAACAATACCAGTTCTCAAGATTTGATATGAAGAATGTGACACAAATGTTCAGTGGACCCTGAATAAATAGGACTAGGACATCTGTACGGGCTGTATGATACTTCTAGATTATTTTCGCGACGCATTACCTATAACAAAAAGCAACAAAATAAGACGTAAACAACAAATAAAGTACAATGATTGCATTAGAATTAGGAATTAACTGTCTTCTTATTTGCTATTTGCACCGAATAATGATTAGTTAATCTGTAAATGATTATTATTTTTTTGGTGATCTTTACAGTTTGAATTTGTATCTGTATAATAAAACAGCTATACTGCGCTGCGCCTTAGGAAATAGTCCTGGTCTTGGGGAACTGGAATATTGCTAACTCACCCAATGATATACTTAAACTGTATACTGCTTCATATATCTGTACGTACCTTGGTAATATATTTCTTTGTCCTCGGGTGATCTTTAAAATTTGTAGATTGAGTTAACTAGCTATCTCTGCGTACAATGATGATGTTTTACTTTATTATAAATATAATAATACAATACATCAGACATTATTCTGTTAAAAAATCAAGTGTTTTGTAAATAAATACGATTGTTTAGTGTTCAGAATGTCAAAGAAATGTCTAATTTTGGAAGGTTTATCTTCAGCGCTGCATAAAACTACTAATTTAATTTGTACATATACAATGTAGCAAGTAAACTGGAAAAAGCAAGGATTACTGAACGTTTTGTTTATATTAACGTGTCATGAGCCATATAGAATGAGACAAAATGAAGAATTAAATAAAATGTAGAATAGTTATGATTGCTTTACACCCTCTTTATTAAAATACACGACTATCCAACAACATCCATTTAATTTGATTCATACTATAAATTGACAACAACTTGTCTTAAATCTCAGATCTCTTTCGTCTCGTTAAAGAATACTTTAAATTTACCTGCATCTGACTGTGTTTTAGATGATTTTATCCTTGAATACATGCGAAGATTTTTTTTAAATTTAAATGTTTTAAGATTCGTTCCAAAAAATTCTTTGTAAAAATTTGACCACTTATCGTGGCCATTATCCTCACAGTCATTGATTGAACGATAGCTGCAGTTTTACAGGAAATTCTATGTCTGTTTGATGTTTGTTTTTGAGAAAAAAAATCAGGTTTTGATGCTGTTAATCCTATGGTAAGATTAAAACAAGTTAACTTTATGGCCAAATTCAGTTATTTATTCATTTGTTATTCTTTTTTCTTTAAAATTCTTAATTTGAAATCATGGTACCACCACATATTCTGTAAAAAAGCATAACTATTCATTATCTGTGTTTTGGAAAAGAATTCGAATGATTAAACCCCTTGTTTTAATGAGAAATATAAAAGTGACTGTCCAAACAATTCGTTTAAACTTTTATTTTCTCAAACATATATCATAAGAGTTCAACAGGATAAAAAAAAGTGTACACTGATCCTCATAGGACATATAAATTAAAACCTCAATTATGGAAAATAAGAAAATTAAGTCTTAAAAACTACGGTTTGTTTCCCTAAACAAAGCACTGCAAGTGAAATCCTTCGAACTTGCAAGTGTAATATGTTGTTTTTTTTCAGTGTCACCCGTCATTTTGTTATTTAGTACAATTATGGATGAGTGTTGAACTTTAAATATTCCGTGTAGATTATATTTCAACATTTCAGTGACTTTGCAAGAAAGGCATAATAGTTTTAATTACATCACTCAAGATGTTATATGAGAGTGACACGATTATTCAGAGGACCCTGTATAAAATATTAGGCATCCATTTTCACTGCACGGAACTTCTATTTGATACTCTGAATCAAGGAACACCTGGTTGTTGTTTATAATTAATGAAAGATATGATTTGCTTTGACAGAAATATGAATTTTGTAGAATATTGTGTGCTGAAAAATTATTTTGTTGCATTTATTTGTCGAGTAAAATGACTAAGGTCGTTCCAATAAATAAAATACCCCCCCCCCCCCCGAAATTCACCCCCTTTATGGTAGGACGAAAAAATGCTTTAGAATAGCATTGATATTATTATTAAATTATGGATAACAGAAGTTGTTTAACTATCAACAGAAAAATTAGAACTAGCAAAAAATGTGCTTGTGAAACATTGTATGGCAACTTAATGACAAAAACAAAACAATGGATGTCTGGATTGGTAAATATTTTTTGGTCTTATTTAATTGAAAATTATGTAAAAAACAAATCTATAGAATATATAGAAATTGTAAATCTTATAGGATGTTCTAAATTCTCTCTCTAAAACTATCCTTATTAATCTATACAAATATTTTTTTTAAATCCCATGTTTGTGAGAATTTGAATAAAAAAGTAGAAACTACGCTTTTAAACTTATTCATTTTACTCATTAAAGCATGACTTAAGTTGTTATTATCTATTTTTTTTTTGACAAAAGTTTGTTTGTATCATCTGTCCTTAAACTTTTTCACAAAACCTCAAATCAAATATGTTCGTACCCATAGTAATGTTGTGAAATATGAAAGCCCAAACATCACTGTTCAACAGTTATGGTCAAGATTAACAGTTTTTAAAAAGGTCAAACTATGAGGTCAAGGTAAAGGAAATAAAGTCGCTGGTCTCTAAAAAAAGATCTTGTAACAAGAATTTTAAGTTTAAAAGCCATAGTCCTAACCGTTCAACAGTTACTAGTATGGCCAACGTTAATTTTTTTGCTAAAGTAGGTCAAACTCCCAAAATCAAGAACAAGGATTACATATGTGACGTATAAGAGCCCTCAACCCAATTTTCAAACTTTATATCCAAGGTTAATTTTGGGTAATATTTTACAAAAAACTTGGTGGTCAAAATGTCGAATTTGATGGAAACCGAAGAAAAGTTTCGTGAAATTGAAAACACATATGGAATATGAAAGTCATAGCCCCAATCAATCAAAAGTTACGGGCAAGGTTAACGTTCCTACTAACAAACAGACAGATAGATGCACAGGAGAAAAAAATAAATAACCGTCAATTACTGGGGCATAAAAATGGTAAAAAAATTGTCTAAAAGTCAAAGAGTTTTTGAAATAGAGATTAAGCAAACATTAAGTACAGTACTGGTTGAAATTGAATATATTCGTAGGTTCTACAAATTGATGTTTTATCGATATTTCCCCGATATTTCCCCATGTTTTCTCCACATTTGAGATCATGTCAACTTAATAAAATTCATAGTGACATATTTTTAATGTCCGACAAATAGTCTACAAAAATGTATTACCTGACAAGGTTTGACAATTTTAGAACTCATAAAAATTGATCCAGACAGGAAAACACCATGGCACAACGCGTCCGTCTGAATATGGTCATATTAAACAGTTTAATAAAACATATTTTCCAAAAATCATATAAGTTGAAAATATTTCAAGAATACATTGAAATATTATACTTTCTAAGTGCACATGCAGCTAATAAATCGTCACGGTTTAAAAATACGGAAGAATGTTGTTTATCTTATTTAAAGGGAAATTTTCAGACCAGTCTCTATTCATTGCACAAAGTTTGTTGTGTATGAAAACTCCATTAAGTTCAAAAGGCAACTCCCTTCATTTTGTCTGTTCTAGGTTGAACAAAATGTGTATACAGGGCCACATCTCTGTCATTCTGTTCTTCATGTTTTCTTCATGGACTACATATTCTGAATGTGTAAGTATTTTCATTTTATTCCTTTCAATAAAATTGAGAGTGTTTTCACCTGTAAGCTTAAGGAATCACCCAAAGCACATCGGTGCGCAGCAAAGCTGTAAGCTGAAATGATCTAGTCTGAATGCTTTTTCTCCATGAAATGTCCAATTGTTCATCTGTCTATGCATATACTTGAAACTTGATACATTTACAATTCTTTTTTTTAAAAGTGAGCCAGTCAAAAACGTAACTTTACACAGATGATTCCTACATAAAACTGGGTCGATTGATTGATTTGTTAAACGACCCTCTCGTGAATTATTCACTCATACGGAGACGCCTCCTCTTGCCGATGGAGAGCTGCAAATTTAGTCCTATACTCGGCACTCAGGGCCTTTGAGCAGTGAGGGATCTTTTTCATGCCAGCACCTACCATGACACGAGACCTACACTTTTAAGGTCATATCCCTTACCTACTGTGACACATGACCTAGATTTACATGGTCTTACCCGAATGACCTGTATCCACGTCTCAAAGTGGGATTACAACACGCGACGTAAGGATCAACTTGGCGATTTTATTTCGCGGCTCTAAAATGCGGGCGACTAAAATGGGATCGAAAAGTTATGTTTGCATAACAGTATGCTATTCATACCCGCCCGTATATGTCTATAAGCATTTTTCTGTCCGGTTTAACGTTGAAATTTGACCTGGGATGAAAATTGACCCGGGGATCAATTTTCAACGTTGAATACTTAGACCAAAGGTGTTGAATTTAGACCCTAGTCTGTTGAAAACTGAGTCGGGTCGTGGAACTTGGATCATGACACCAGTTCTGAATTCAAATGCGTAAAACATCAATTTTTGACTTGTGTTTCACAAACGTTATTTAATCCATAGGCGTCAGGAAGGTGGAGGGGGGGGGGGCTAGGGATGCTTAGCACCCCTCCACTTTAGAAAATTTTAAATCACTATTTTTTTCAAAAGCCAGTCACATCAAAACGTACATTTGTACATTCTTAACAAGCATTCCTGACGACAAATTCAAAACCATCATTTTAACATGATAGACTACTGCTTTCTCAATAAAAATGGAACTCGGAAATTTTCGGATTTTTTGAAAGGTCATCAACGAGAATCACTTTGTTAGAATTACCCTGATTCTACCTAAAAGTATCTTGAAGTTGATATTAAAGGAAGCCGGGGTTCCTCATCGACACCGTGTTTGCAGTCTTTGAAGAATTCTTCCTTCAAAACTTAGAATTTCGATAGGCACTAATTGTGCTCCTTCATTGGCCGACCTGTTTTAATATTTCTTTGAAGCAGAATCAGAATATATATTTTTAAAATCTTTACATGAAAAGCAGAAAATACTTGCTGTGGGGTTCACTTCAACTATGAGATACACTGATGACGTTTAATCAAGTAACAATACTTACTTTAGTTCATATGTGGACTCGATATATTCCAGAGAAATTTAAATCAAAGTCACCAGTGAATGTGCCACAACTGTTTCATGTTTGGAAGTTTTACTGACTGTGGAAGATGAAGGCCTACTGAAACTACACTGTATAAGAAATGCTTCCGCTTCAGCATCTTTTCCAAAGTGAACTTTCCGTATTTGTTAAGTAATATTCCGCGATCACCTGTTTATGGTATGATGGATGAATCATTGCATTGTCACACTTTTTGACATTCTTTTTCAATCATTTATTTTTTTCTTTTTCTAAATCATGTCATTCCTGTTCGAAAAAAATTATTCCTATTCGATAAGTTTTAATTCTTGTGCAAAAAAAAAATGTTATTTCTGTTCAGAGAATTCAACACCTTTAAATTGTAAATTTATTCGAAAAATATATGATTCCTATTCGAAAAATTTGTCATCTCTGTTCTATGACTTAATAATTTATATTCGATAATCATGTTTAATATGTCCTTCTAATTCAATTGAGTTGACAACCAGTTCTAGTATTGCCAAATTTCCCAGTATGAAATTATTAAAAAGAATAAGAAAAACATCGCATAGGAGTAATAAAATTTTGCTATAAGATGAGGAATTTATCGTATAGAAATCCAATTTTTTTCGAGTAGAAATGGATGCTAATATTTTTTCGAACAACAACTTCATTGTATATAAACCAAATAATTATCGAATAAGAAAGGTAAAATTATCGAATAGGAATGACAAGATAACTAAATAGGAATGATAGTATTTTTAAAATATGAATGACATTTAATAGGAAACGTGAGCATAATATATAATGATAAAGAAATCATATTGCTATATTTCCTCCGATGTGAATAGCAATTTATCGAATACAAATTACGAATTATCGAATAGGAATAACGACTAACCGAATAGGTATCACATTGTATCGAATAAGAATGATATATCATAGAATAAGAATAATATAATCTTAAGGCTATGCTCCAGAAACTATCAATTTTTAAGCCGAGGCAGGATAATGACAGATAAGTTTGTTACTTGGATTTCATTAACCTTGTTTAAAGTCAGCATTAATTTGATGCTATGGTCGCTATATTGATTTTTTTCACAAATAATAAAATCTATCATGAGATTAATTTTTGCTGATGTGTTTCACTCTAATTTTTAGGCTTTTATTTATACTAAATTGAACTGTGATGGGATATTCTGCCCACCTGATCAATATATACATTGTATAGGGCTCACTTTCTAGACACCATATTTCCAGGATTTTTGTTTAATGCCCTATTCATAGTTTTGTTATTTATGGATGGTATGGGTTTTAGAAAGTATTGTCAAAAAATAAAGTTGTCATGCTTGAAGATAACTGAAATCGTGTACTGATCAAAATGTACACTATATACACGGGATGATAGGTTTATTTCTATAATTCTTGAAAAGGGAAAAAAATTAAAACCGAAATATAGATATAGAGATATTGATATTAAATCCCGTAAAACAACTTCCCAGTTCATAAAATGTTTCATCTCAGATTTAGGGTCAATATTCAACAGGGTCAATTTTGAAATTGTTGAGGTCATCAGGGATAAAAAAAAAATATCAAGATGTTGAAAAATGACCCTGGGTATCAATTCAACGACCTTTGGTCTCAATTTTCAACGGAGAAAAAACACACGAGGTTCAATATCCAACGTTGAAAAATAAACCCCGGGTTAATTTTCAACTCGGGTCAATATTCAACGTTACATCGGCTCATATCTGAAATTCTATTTCTAAAATTGTCAAAATGTTTTTAGGTAATTCATCTACGGTTGAATGTTTCAGTCACAAAACCTGTTTAATAAAGCATTAGATAAAGTCTTCTCTAATCAACAGTAAAACTTGGCTGGGAGAGAATAATCTTTTCTAAAGCTAGTTTCTCATTTATTTCTTAATATATTATTATTACATACATTAGTTTGAAATACCACTGGCGAATTAAAATTCTCCAGTTTATTTTTATGGCGCTGAAATCATCCTGATTAACCCCTCTTTCGCATTTTGACGTCTAGAAGTCCTTTTGCGATGTTAAGTACAGGCCCAATAATATATGGACGTTGACTTGAATTTTCCAGATTTCAGTTGGACAATCTGATAGACTCGTTTTACCAGTAGACAGTTGTCCAAGGGACCTGTCTGAAGTTGAGAATGCTACCAAGAGACTGAATTGCTCAGATATTGACAAGTTTAAAAACACGTATCATTGTCTACCCTTGTCCGACTTGTCTCAGCTTGTCGAGTTGTGTTACCAAACCAGCTATTTAGTCCAGAAAGGTGAATAAAACTATTTGCTTTAAGTGCTTCTGTTTCTTTAAGAATGAAAAGTGGCATTTTGTTCTCGTATAACTTTTTTTACATGTTCTTTAAAACTTTCTTATTCAAATATCAGGTGTGTGTGTGTGTGTGTGTGTGTGTGTGTGTGTGTGTGTGTGTGTGTGTGTGTGTGTGTGTGTGTGTGTGTGTGTGTGTGTGTGTGTGTGTGTGTGTGTGTGTGTGTGTGTGTGTGTGTGTGTGTGTGTGTGTGTGTGTGTGTGTGTGTGTGTGTGTGTGTGTGTGTGTGTGTGTGTGTGTGTGTGTGTGTGTGTGTGTGTGTGTGTGTGTGTGTGTGTGTGTGTGTGTGTGTGTGTGTGTGTGTGTGTGTGTGTGTGTGTGTGTGTGTGTGTGTGTGTGTGTGTGTGTGTGTGTGTGTGTGTGTGTGTGTGTGTGTGTGTGTGTGTGTGTGTGTGTGTGTGTGTGTGTGTGTGTGTGTGTGTGTGTGTGTGTGTGTGTGTGTGTGTGTGTGTGTGTGTGTGTGTGTGTGTGTGTGTGTGTGTGTGTGTGTGTGTGTGTGTGTGTGTGTGTGTGTGTGTGTGTGTGTGTGTGTGTGTGTGTGTGGTGTGTGTGTGTGTGTGTGTGTGTGTGTGTGTGTGTGTGTGTGTGTGTGTGTGTGTGTGTGTGTGTGTGTGTGTGTGTGTGTGTGTGTGTGTGTGTGTGTGTGTGTGTGTGTGTGTGTGTGTGTGTGTGTGTGTGTGTGTGTGTGGTGTGTGTGTGTGTGTGTGTGTGTGTGTGTGTGTGTGTGTGTGTGTGTGTGTGTGTGTGTGTGTGTGTGTGTGTGTGTGTGTGTGTGTGTGTGTGTGTGTGTGTGTGTGTGTGTGTGTGTGTGTGTGTGTGTGTGTGTGTGTGTGTGTGTGTGTGTGTGTGTGTGTGTGTGTGTGTGTGTGTGTGTGTGATCAACACAAAATGCAGGGGAAAATTTACCTTACCAACTTCTAAAATCTGTTACAATTTTTCAAGGAGTTTAATTTTTTTAAGCAAAATGAGTCATGCTTTATATATTTTCATGAAATTCATATTCATCATGAATTAAATGTTTATCCCACATAAATATATTACACAGGAAATTGCATGGTTCTGCATTCCGGTTATTTAAACAACCAATCATGTCTTCATTTCACCGAAGGCTGTCCCAAGACGTACTACCAGTCTAAACGGATGTTTGAATGTAAGTGTATATTCACTTGTATTTGGAGCTTTTATTAAGAAAACATAGTTATGTAATAGCTATCAAATATAATATTGACGGGCTTGATGATTATGACAAGAATGGGTGTAGCACTCATCAAGTATCTGCACAAAACCAACTATATTATATATGTTAAGTGACTGTTACCTTAGTTTTCCAAAATCAATCATGTGTAAGTCAACTTATGAATTTGGACTGGCTCGTGTGATTGCAGAAGTAAGTTTTTGATATCAATGATACACGTGGATTCGATATGGTTTTTACGCTCATTCGTGTTATTATGACCTCTTCATCGAATATTGAGTACTAGTAATTTACTTGTATGCTATAGCTTTAAAGAATAATTATATCTGAATCAATTTAGGAAGGTTGACTGGTTCGCGAAACTGACAAATTAATGTTAGTATTCAATAAGAAGACATGTTGATTTGATATGTTTTCCCTGTAAAAGTCAAACCTAAAAATAAAATTTCTAGGTTTGAAATGTTCGTATCCAATAAAAAATGTTGATTTGATATTTTTCCTTATGAAATTCAAACCTAAAAATAATTTTTTAGGTTTGAAATCAATAGTTAAAATGAACTAAATTAATTTCTCTTTTAACCCGATAATCACTATTTAACATTTTTCTTTTTATTTCACTAAAAATTTAGAAAAAGGCACATTTCAATTTAATTGAAATTAGATCTTTGATTCGTTTGATCACTATGCAAAAAAATTTGGTTACATAGATGTTCATATATGCAATCTGAAACTTTTGATTATTGAAGTGCATTTTTGTTTTTATTTACAAAGTGATGTACCTTTTATACTTATGTGCTTATTGAAATATTTTTAAGAGTACCAATTATCTGAATACCATGGTAATAGCGTGATACTGATTTATAAAAAAGAAATAAAAAAACCCCACATAATACAGAGGGGTATATCTGGTACAGAATTAGTCTTGTATATCTTTAGAACTATATGGTCTTGATATATATTTTCTGAAAGCCCGTTTATACAACTTCGTTTTTTCGTCTTTTCTTAAGATAAACATCCAGTGAATGACTTTATACTACCTTTTTGGTGCTAGATTAACTATGACGTAAAAATATATTTCAACTTTTTTTTTCACGTACATTACAAAACTAATAGAATTATGTAAAAAATAAAAAAATCATGGAATTTGAAATCGTAAAGAAGGTAATCCTGATACCTATATCTAATTTGATATCATTTAAACAAATGATACGGAGATAATGAACAGTACTCAATTTCAAAGTCTATAAAGCAATTAAAATTAGGAGCAGAGCAAACACAGACCTCCAAAGCATCTGAAGTAGAATCAGGTGCCATGGAGGAGTGGGCATCTCGCGCTGACTGGTCACACACACACTATGTGCTCCTTGTTATGATCGGGAAATAACTTAAAAATCCGTCGTTAAGTCAGTGTATCAAATGGACTAAAAATTAGTATGAAAAACCTCTATCAGCATTCGACTCAATGATAAATTGTATTTGCTGACAAGGTCATTGTATCGACCATAGAACTTACGAAATGGTGACTTTAAACGAGACTGTTAATATTCTTGTTTCATCAACTTGCTTGTCAATAATATACCTCATTTAAGAAATTTTTCGAACGTAGAGCATGCTCTTTCGTATCGAATCAACTGATATATATATACTCCGTATGCAGGTGATGAAGGTATATTGCTGCATAAGTAAGGGAAGTTTACGATAGAAAAGTTAAAGTCATTACGTTTATCATATAGCTTGGAAGTTAGATTACCATTTGTGTCTTTTTCAAGTAAAATATCCAAGTATGAAGCAGAAGTGCCGGACTTCGTGGTATTTTATGTCTCATGTTCAACAGGATATATCGTATCGACGTAGGAATGGACATTATCATTATTAATTGACAATACGTCGTCGATTTATCTAAATGTCGATTTGAAGGCCACAACAAGTGTTTTCTTCTTTTCACGCATAAGATTTTGCATAAATTCTGCGATTCTGTGATCGGTCGGCAGGGGATGCTCACTTCTCCATGCATGGCACCTGATACCATCTCTGATGTTTCGGGGGTCCGTGATTGCTCTTTGAATTGTTTTTGGACTTTGAGCTTGAATACTGTTCGTTATCTCCATATCCTTCATTAAAGGAATCTTTTTTTTTTATTTTATAAATCTGTAGGCACCTTTCATTCACTAGATCTTGACCATAATCAATTGAATTTCAATTTTCTAGTCTATTGCATAAGTAATTTTTGTCAATTTTTTAATGTTTTTTTTACATGTAGATGGATTCATTTAATTTTTGTAAAGGAATTACCTTTATTTATTTCAAATACGTACGTCTACTTTTAAAATCTTACAATTATGTTTTGTTTATTTAGTTCCAGATTGCACCCAAATCAATAAACGAAACAGATGTTATCTAGCTGATCCCCGCTGTCCTACTTTAAGCAGGTAATTGTTTAAAGGGTTGTTGATTTAATGTAGACTGTAACTTCAAATATATATTACAGCATTACACAAAATTACTATTTTTAATTAAAAATTAATTTTTGTTTTAGTGACTTCATCTCTACAACTGTCACTACAACACTTAATGTATCTCTATCCATTACAACGTCTACCAGTCATGGAGATATCTCTGGAGATAAAGACTGGATAGCGATACCCGTAGTAATATGTGTACTTGTCATTATATTGATTGTCTCTGGTTTTGTTTGGAAACGGAAATGTCATCGTTTTTTCTTTAAGGAAAAAAGTGGAGGTAATTTTCTTTTAAATTATTCTCTGTAGAGTTATATTTAAGTACATGTACTTTCATATGTACGATTAAATTATGATAAATGGACAACAAACCAGCAAATGCTTTAAATGCCGTTGAAAAGCATTTCTCTTGATGCATATTTTTATATAAATCTTTAAAAAACAGAAATTATTTATTTTTTATTTCATTAATAGATGACAACATGCTTTCTTTAGAAGATATAAGTTGTCAAAGTAAGAATAATTCCATGAACGTTCAAGATGCCGAAACGGAATCAGAAACGACTGCTTTAATACAGAATAATGAAAATACACAGTGCATTGGAGGTTAGTCGTTAAATTAACTGAAAAAAAAATCGGACACTGCATATTCACCATTGTAGTAGTCATAGGCATGAGGCGATTGATGTATACTTATGTCATTGAAAATATTACCATATATATGATAGGTGTATTGGAATGGACAAGAATCATTTATATAAATTTTGTATTTGAATTTCAAATAAATGTTATTTAATTTATTGGTTTGGTCGGAAGGAAATTGAAATGGGGGGGGGGGCTCAGTGTTTAAAGCGACAAAAAATCTGACAAGCAAAACAAAATACTCCTTATCCAAACAAGAAAACCCTTATTCTGTTGAGTTTGGGGGGGGGGGGCCTTTCAGTACTATTTTTTTTCAAACTCCACCACTTTCCCTATTTTTTTTCAAAACTTAAACTGCAACTTGTCTATGAAAAGTCGGGAGGTGCATTGTTCAATGCTTATTCTCAGCACTTTTGAAAAAGAAGTAGGGAGCTTTGAACCCCATCCCCAAAACCTCTGGTTTCGACGCCTATGTAATTAAAGGAGATAAGCTCAAAATCTAATACAATATTTCTAATAGATACGGACTCTTTAAGGGGTAACGACCCTCTGATATGACAGATAACTCTCAGAGACAGTCAGAGTACAAAACATGAATACTACTCACAGTTTTCTTAATCAGAGTTCCATAATTTAGACCTCTGAGTAGTCAATTCGATGAAATCTGACATGTGATGGAAACATTACTTTCTATTTCTTTTGCCAATCTCAGACTAATTGTTTTTATTATATTTAACAATAAAACATTTAAATCCTACTTCAAAAGCATTTTAAATAGAATAAGTTGTATATTTCTAAAGACTATTTTAATAATGGTTTAATGTTTCAAGTACTTAATACAGAATTTTTATAAGTATGACATTTTTTTCACATGAAGAAATCTTTAGAAGAAAGATAACTCCTCCTCACAGATGTATTTTTTTTCTTACAACCGCATACAACATTGTAATTTTCTGACTTAGAAAGCATCGCTTCATGATGTTTTCTGACATGATTTTAATAGGTATTATACTAAGTATTATTTTCATATACAACTCATATTTCAATTTAAATGTTATGATAATAAATCGTTACTGTTTCTGTTCTCTATGTTGAAATTTCTTCATATCATGATCTGACATAAAAATCATTTCTGAAAAAATAAGCTGCACTTCTTACATCAAACTATTTTCTATTTGGCTCTAATGTTATTGTTGTTCATGAAAATAAAAATTAGAAATATTAAATTTTCTGAGTGAAATTTGATAGCAGAGGGTTGGGACCCCTTAAGTTAATGGACGAGGGTAAGGTGCTTTATAAGGTATTGGGCATTCCCATAAGTTAACAACATATTTAAATTAGATATGGAAGAAAAACAATCAGGGAAAGTCGGATTCTGTCGTTACTGGAGTTCCTTAATGATTTAAAAAATGAAACTAGGCACAGAAATGAAAAATAAAAAGAGTCAACTAAGAGCACAGTTAAATTTAATATAAAGTACATCGTTTGTCCAATAAAAGTACACTTGTATGTCAATGGTACATGCTGATACATGAAACTCTCGCTCATTTTTTTTTATTATGTACCTTTCGTCCTAGTCGCAAGTTAATTACCTTAATGCATGTCGAAAAAGTAAGGTTCATTAAACATCCTCTATAAATGTTGCTTGGACCTTATTGATTTCCCAAAAGAAATTTACTCCATAATTAATACAATAATATCATAGCTTGCGGGGCACAATTGGACAAAAAGACACTCCAACTCGGCTAATTCATACAGGAATAATGAACATTTTTGTCAGTATGAGTCATCCCGTTGATCAAAATGTCAATGTACCTTAAACGAAACTGTGCATAGGCAAATTCAAAACAGGTTAATTTTGATTGATAGTGTAAAGGGGCAAAAATAACACATATTAACTTAACAACTGATATGACATGATTGGAATAGAGGTCAGAGGAGAAATGTATTTTAAGATGTCTATGTTTAATGCATTTTCATTTCCATAAGTATTTATCACATAATGTCATAACTGACTGTCTAATTGTTTCTAAAGCAATCGAGGCATCAGTAGTTGAATTCTCTTTACTCTTCTACATAAATTAGCATGGTTATTTACTAAAGTGAAACCGTCGAAATGTGGTACCTAGATATTTTATACCGACAGGATGGTTTATCATCAATATTTTTTTTTTACGTAGTTAACTCTGTTTTTAGACTAATATTTTTTTGTAGATATTGACTATGTTCCCATAAAGAATAAACCATCCAAGAATTCAAAGACTGAAGATTCAACACAAGAGTCAAATCAGAAGAGAGTGAAGGGGTTACTGAGTGATGAAGGTAAGGTCTGTGTGGGGATTTCTGAATATGTACACTATAAGGTAAATACACATTCAGTAAGATTTCAAACAGCAGGCGATATATTCATACAAAATGTAAAGTAATGCCAATTTTTAAATTACTTTCACATTTATTTGCTCAAATTATTTCTTGTTAAAATAAATAAAAATGTAGTTTCCTAAAGTAAATTACATTGTGTTTTTAACTATACAATTAAAACGGAATTTCGACTCTATGTTATGCATAAACGTAATAACATTTTCAAAATATTTCCTTGATAAATATTTTAAGCATTTATAGGTTCAACTCTAAATGAAGATATTCTGAAAGGTTGGCAAGAGGATAACAGCAGATTTGTGCCAACAAAAGCAAGTAAACTTGTAGAAGAAAAAATTAAAAATCAAAACCTGGTCACGGTTGTCGGAAATTCAGGATGCGGTAAAACGGCAATCATTCAACACATCGCACTGAAGTTTAAAGAAGAAGGGTGGGATATCAAACCTGTCGACGAGGTGAAAGAAATAAAACAGACATGCTCTCTTGGAATCTCGCCGGATAATCAGGTACTGTTTGTTCTAAATGATCCTATTGGTAAGGAGACATTAGATGAAATTTCATATAATTCATGGAAAACATATGAGAAAACAATAGCAACTTGCTTGGAAAAGGTTAAATTATTAGTGTCATGTAGAAGAAGTGTAATTGGTGACAAGAGATTAGAAGGGATTCTGATAAAGGACTCCAACATAGTAGAGATAGACAGCAACGAATGGAAGTTGTCAGAGGAAGAAAAAAGGAAGATCTTAAATACATACTGCCAACATCTGGATATATCTCAAGAGGACTTAAGTGAAATACTCAAAACAGAAGCATATTTTCCTTTGCTTTGTAAAGTGCTTTCTTGTGAACAAAGTAGCAGTAGCAAAAAAGTAGAAAAAGTAGCCAGCATCTTTAAAAACCCGTTTCAGTTCATAAAACAAGAAATTGAACGTTACAAAACCTTAGACAAACAGAAATATTGCGCCTTACTTTTGATCGTGGCATTTAATAATGATTTTAAAGTTTATTCTTTAGAAAAAGAAAAAAACGCTGAACAAAAGTATAAAGTTATTTTGAAAATATGTAACCTACAAGAAAACACACATGTTTCGGTCATTAAGGATTCTCTAAATGAAATGAACGGATCTTATGTCAGACGTGTCGGGAATGTTTACCAATTTCTTCACGACTTTATTATGGAGATAACGACTTTGGTATTTGGTATCAATTGTCCTCAAGAGGCAATACAGTACGCAGACAGTGGTTTTCTGAGACGACGGGTGAGAATAGAAGACGATACAGAAGAGGAAGATCGCGATCCCTTCACTGTTTACCTGCCTGAAGAGTACATTGATGATCTTGTGGACAGGTTTATTACTGACATACAAACAGAAAACCTTGTAGATGTTTTACTCAATCGATGTTTGAGGAAAGAGAGTGTGATCAATTCTTTAAAGGAAAAAGTGGATTCGCTTGAAAAACTTCTTGTAAAAATTAAGTGTGAAAAAGACAAATCGGAATTTCAAAGATTATTTGAAAGATCTTTTTTCACAAGACTTGATTTCCTTTATTTACAAGATGAAATATGTCCTTTAGTCGGACTTATTGTATTTTGTCATTCTGACATTTCTTCATTTTTCATAAAAAGTATCCCTGAAACGAAGTTGAAAGAACATCCTACATTTTCTGCTATCTGTGCAAATGGCGATTTAAACCTACTTAATTCTCTCAGCCAAGAATATAAAAAAACAGCAATGATGGAAATATGGGATGACTCTTTACCAATTCATGTTGCTTCTGAATTTCATAATTTTTCAATAATAGAAGAATTAGTAAGACTTGGTGCTGACGTAAACGAGTTCACAACTGATGACACATGGACTCCATTATCACTGGCTGCTGGAAATGACGAAGATCATTTAAAAGAGGCCGGAAAGGATACAAACGAGGGCGAAAGACGTAATAAAACCATTATGTGCTTACTGAACAATGGTGCCGACATCAATTTATGTAACAAGAATGGAGCCAGTCCTCTTTATATAGCTTGTGAAAATGGACATGAAAGCACGGTACAACTGTTACTGAACAACGGTGCTGACATCAATTTATGTAACAAGAATGGAGCCAGTCCTCTTTATATAGCTTGTCAAAATGGACATGATAGCACAGTACAACTGTTACTGAACAACGGTACCGACATCAATTTATGTGAGAATGATGGAGACAGTCCTCTTTGGATAGCTTGTCAAAATGGACATGATAGCACGGTACAATTGTTACTGAGCAACGGTGCCGACATCAATTTATGTGATAATGAAGGAGACAGTCCTCTTTGGATAGCTTGTCATAATGGACATGATAGCACGGTACAACTATTACTGAACAACGGTGCCGACATCAATTTATGTGATAATGATGGAGACAGTCCTCTTTGGATAGCTTATTAAAATGGCACGGTAAAACTGTTACTGAACAACGGTGCCGACATCAATTTATGTAATAATAATGGAGCCAGTCCTCTTTATATGGCTTGTTATGACGGACATGATAGCACGGTACAACTGTTACTGAACAACGTTGCCGATATCAATTTATGTAACAAGAATGGAGCCAGTCCTCTTTGGATAGCTTGTCAAAATGGACATGATAGCACGGTACAGCTGTTACTGAGCAACGGTGCCGACATCAATTCATGTAACAAGAATGGAGCCAGTCCTCTTTATATAGCTTGTCAAAATGGACATGATAGCACGGTACAACTGTTACTGAACAACGGTGCTGACATCAATTTATGTAATAATGATGGAGATAGTCCTCTTTATATAGCTTGTCAAAATGGACGTGATAGCACGGTACAACTGTTATTGAGCAACGGTGCCGACATCAATTTATGTAACAAGAATGAAGCCAGTCCATTTTATGTAGCTCGTCAAAATGGACATGATAGCACGGTACAACTACTGCTGAACAATGATGCCGACATCAATTTATGTGAGAAGAATGGAGGCAGTCCTCTTTATATAGCTTGTCAAAATGGACATGATAGCACGGTACAACTACTACTGAAAAATGATGCCGATATTAATTTGTGAACAAGAATAAAGACATTATTGATGATAACTAAATGGACATGAGATCACAATTATTGATAGTCATTGGCAACTTATTAATAAGTTGAAACTTGTTTGCCACAATACTCGTCCAAAAATATCATTATTGTTTTACTTTCTTGTACTTTAAATAAGCAAATGCCAGATTTTTGAATTTAATCATTGCGTTTCTAATAGGAAAATCTAATGAAACAATATTGTTAAATTTTATCTTGTGAAATATAAAAGATATAGATTAATTTGAAATACATTTATATGTATTTAGTCTGAAAAACTTGTTATATGCGAACAATTGAATAATGTGAAGTATATTTATTTAGTTAGAAAATGTGTTATATGTATACACTAAAAATTTTTAATAATGCTCCTGTGAATTTCAATTTTCCTGTGAATTACTTTCTTTTAATATGTTGTAGATATGTATTTGCTTTGACATATCCTCATATATAATGGCTTTAAATATAAAATGTAAGATTAATCTACTATCTACATGTACTAAACCTATATTATGTTTTGAATCACGAGTCCATTGTTCAAGGGCTCAAATTATAGGGAGTACAAGTAATTATCTCGGTGTACATCAACATATACAATATAATATCAATTGCTGTCTTGAACTTTATATTTGAGAACAAATATAAAACATTTCTAACATATGGAATTAAAAAAAATGCCTTCAATGTTTTATATAAGTTCAGAAAACCGAGAATGACGTTTATGGTTTTATCAGGTCCAGCACAATGTCTTAATTAAGCTATATAGCTTTATAAAGCTAGATAGCTTCATTAAGCTATTGTAAATAGCTTTATTAAGCTATTTTGGAGGTGAAAATTACGAAAAAAATAATAATAAATAGAAAACAAAAAGTCGCATCATGAGTACTTGTCAACAAGTTCACCCGTGCATTAAAAGTACTCAAACACAAAAATCACAATATAAAAGCGCTGCGTCTGGGTCGCTGGACTACCAAAGATTGTTAGAGTGTTCAAATCAAAAAAGAAAATTTAAAGTTCATCGTAAAAGTTTAGAAATCGCTTGATGGTAAGTGTATTTTTTCTAAATTTTATAAGTGTAACATTAAACCTGAAAAGTAATTTGCTGTTGGCAAAAGCGTTAATTAGAAACTAACTTATTATTTTTTGACATGTCCTATTTACATTTGGAGAAACGGGTTAAAAAATGGAACAGCCAGATATAAATGCAATGACAACACTTACTTTTTTGTGTATATGATGGCTTCCCGCTTCCTTTAAATACTACACCGGAACTGACTTCTGCAAACTAAACTTTAGATGAGGAATCAGCCGGCACATCATCTTGCAGGTAACATTCTACGGAGGCACCATAGCGTTAAAATTGTACTATTTTTCAGTGCACGAGAGAAATGAACTAAATAATTTTTTAAGGTTAATTAATGAAATAAAATGCATATGATTCTTTTTTTTATCTTGACATTATTATTATTAACATAAATATTTGGACAGGACAATAAAGGAAACCCCGGTAGAAACCATAAAGGTCAGGAGAATAGGGGGAAGAAAAGGAGCGGGCCTGCAAGCACTACGTTCATTGAAGATGCCACTATGAGACAAACTTCTACCTATAAAAAGAAAACTACACTTCTTAAAAGGTACAGAATTATATACTTGTACCTTCATCGTCAATTACATCCAGTGCATTTTTCACCAATTCTGTC